CCACCACCACCACCACTGACACCACCAACGTCACAGGTGTTGCTGTCGTGGAAGATACTGCTGCTGTCGTTGCCGTTGCTGTTGCTGCTGAGAAGCCAACATGCGATGCGAGTGAAAATAAGACGACCACCACCACTATTGAGGTAAGTCCCGTTTTCTAACTGTTCACATCTGTCTCTGCTTGTCTGTTTGTCAGTTTTAGTTTTAGTTGTTGTTTTTGTTGTTTGTGACCGCCTCTGGCAATGACAGGCAATTTTTTCAGGCGCGATCGATGAGTATGTGCTGTGCTGTGTGTTGCTAAGCGCTTGACACATCACCAGTCTAGGACGGATCCTCCTGTCCAGTGCTTCGCTCCACAAAGACCTGTACATAATGCACACACACTGATTGTCGGTAGGCAATCATCACCACAACTACCACCACCAATTGAGAACAATCTCAGCGGGTTGAACGAGAACGAGAGAATTGAAAAAGAAGTAGATTAATCTCTTTGGGTGCCTGCCTGCCTGCTCGCCATTGGGCATGAATCAATCATCGACTGCGAGGGCATCTCAATTGGCCGATTGGTCATACACTGTGTGCACTCCAGCAGACTTCTAAAGAGTTTACTTGTCTTGTGTGTGTGCTGCACCGGTGGTGTGCAGTGCACTCTGCAGAATCAGCTTAGTCTTCAGAACTTACTGCACAATCACTCGGTGCCCATTCAGAGCCAGAACGCTCTTCCTGGTTGATTGGTGTTGCTGGTGGTGGTTGTGGTGATGATGATGATGATGATGATTGTGGCTAGCTGCCACCGTGGAGGCTTTTTTGGTGCACAGAGACTGGCTGGCAAAAGAGCAAGAGAGCTCTGCACCTGTGTGCATCCAGTGCTTTGCCCTATTCTGCCTAGTGTCGTCGGTAGGATCGATAGTTGTAGTGTGCTTCTGTTGCACTTCGTGTGACAGGCACCACTGCAGGAGCGCAATACCGTACACGTACCGCGTGCTAGTGCGTCGCTTTTACGACACTCATCAGTGACTAATTGACGCAATTTTCTGGCATTTACTATCGGAAGGATTCGGCCTGTGTATGTGTTTGCACTGATTCTGCTACATAGCCCCTGCTGAGCCCGATGTGTTTCTTTAGGAGGAGGATATGCGGTTAGCAGCTCTGGTGAATCGGCACCACCACTGTGCTACTCACTGGCAACAGTGCTAACAGCAATGGCAATGTTTTTCTCCCGCAGTAGCTAAAATTAGCCCTTTTCACTTTCTCTGTCTTGAGAGTCAGCTCAGTAGCAGAAGCAACAGCAGCTTGATGCAAGTTTATTCTATTCTGGCGACCATAATTCTGCGCTAGCTATTCTAGCTGTTGTTGGCAGTGCCCTGCAGGGCTGCACCACTGCCAAGTGATGAGGACAGGATGATGAGCACTGCAATGTGCAACAATTCTGCTGATGCTGCTACTGCGCCTGACGCTCCTTCCTTTCGCTGTCGTTTTTTACNGGCTGCACCACTGCCAAGTGATGAGGACGGGATGATGAGCACTGCAATGTGCAACAATTCTGCTGATGCTGCTACTGCGCCTGACGCTCCTTCCTTTCGCTGTCGTTTTTTACGGTAATTTGGAGGTTTGTTTTTAAAAGCTCTTTTTGCAGAATATTATTTTTTAACTCGCCATATTTATTGCTGCCAAACGACGAAGCTGTGATTGCTCTTTTTATTCCTTTCTGTATAAAGCAAAACGCCTTTAACTGCTTTGAAAGTGTGACTTGTGAGGAAAGAAGTTTCAATTCACACTTCTTGCTTTGATTCTGATTGAGGTAGTGAAAATCAGCAAATTCACAAATCAGCAAGTTCTAATTGCCATCGATAGAACTGTGAGTGTTTGTGTATGTTTAGTGAGTGCCACGTAATGTCTCCTGTACGTTAAACAACGTGGCAGTGTTTAGTCTTTCATTGATTTGCCTCTAATTGATCGATGCTTTTTTTGCTCTTCTAATTCTCTCTTTATTTCATTTTCTTCACGACATTCACCACCACCAAATCACAGACCAAGAGCAGCACCAGCCAAGCAGTCGCAGCTACACCAGCTACAACTAGTGCCGTCGATTCATCTTGCGAGCAACAGCAGCAGCTGACCAAGGAGTGCTCAGAATCCAGCGAAGCCATTGCCACTGAAGCAGCAGCATCTAGCGATCAATCAATGGACGTCGACGTCGACTCGAAGACCAAGCCAAACGGTGCCGTAAATGGCGGCAGCAAGTCATACACACAGGTTGGTGGACATTTTTTATTTTATTTCTTCTGCTTCAGTGATTTATGTGTCTGCTTCTCATGACCACCACCATCATCATCAACACACTTTAACTATTTCTCCCGCTTTAGCAGAATGGTACCGGCGAGTCCGTTTGCAAGATTTGCAGCAAACATGTCTATCAAATGGAACAGATCAAGGCGGAGAAGAGCGTCTTTCACATGGCCTGCTTCCGCTGTCAGGAGTGCAAAAAACAGCTAAAGTAAGTTCTCAGCCACTACTCACACCTTTCCCTCGATCACTTTCCTTTTCTTCTTTTTATCACTTAATCATAGCCTTTGTGTGTGTGTTGCTAATCTGGTCTAATTGTTCTCTCCTTTCCTCACCTCTTTCCTTTCCCCTCCTTTGCACTCTAGGGTGGATTCGTATTCCTCTCACGAAGGCGTCATGTACTGCAAGCCCCACTTTAAGCAACTCTTCCAGCCGAAGCCCGTTATTGTGAATGATTCCAGCGAACCAAGTAAGTGAGAGATAGAGAGCCCGTGTGTGTGTTGTCTTGTTCCCCTTTGTGTCTGTCGTTGATTTTTCTTTCGCTCGCAGCGTCTCCCCCTCCTTTACTCACTTTTAGTGTGTTGTCTTACTGTTTGACTGCTGGTGATGAATTGAGTGGCCAATTGCCAGTAAATTACCGCCACTAATTAGCCACATTCTCCACTAGTGACAGTGGCGCGGCTATTTATAGTGATACAACTGTCTGTATATTTGTCAGCTAGTGCGAGTGTCCTGCACTCGTCCTCTCACTATCTATCGGTCTATCTAGCACTCTTCTCTCTCTCTCTCTCTCTGCCTCGTCGGGCGCCATTGAGCTAAGACAAAGATTAGAGTCCTAGTGTCAGTATTTTACGCAGCCACTGCACAGTCAATTGTTCGACAGTAGCACACTCGGACTCGGGAGCGCAACAATGCGCGCCGAGTGAGCTGCGCCTAATCAGAGGAGCTCCTTACTGGCTGCTCCTCTTCATTTGCTGGTCGCCCCAGGTAGTACTGGAGAGTACTGCAGAAAGGAGGAAGATTTTCTTTGAGGAGGATTGCTCTTTCTAGTGGCAGCAGCACTTCATTTCCCCTTATCGGTCTCCTTGTCACCGCCGACGCTGCTTCTGCTATGACTTCTGTTGCAGCAGCAGCAGCAGTCAGCTCCCCAGCCACCTAAGCTAACTTGGTTGCTAACTTCGTTCGCTGGTCGACTCTCGGTGGTATCAATGGCTGTCGTATTCGCTTGGCTGGAAATAACTGCCCAAATAGTGTGGCTATATTCACTTATCTCCACAGCACTGTCTTCTCTCTTCATTTTCTTCTCGTTTGTTCTTTCTCACTCTCGAGACACTGTCTTGTCCTGTCCGGTCCGGTCTCCCTCTCTGTCTGTCTTTCTGTCTTTCTGTCTGCCAGTCTGACAGTATGTCTGTGTGTGAGAAAGTCCGACGCCGGTGGCTGCTGTTGTTGCTGTCGTTGCCGCCGACTGGTTTGCCCCCCACTATCTCTCTCACTTCTCTTGCCCCCTTCTTCGTCTTTCGCTCCCGGCGCCGATTATCTCTCGTTCGTCCGCTCAGCTCACCTGTCCTGTGAGGTGGTGCACCAGTGGTCTTAATAACCCGTTTCAGCTCAACCCCTTGAGAGACAATTAGTGCGCGTCCCGGCGAGCGAAGGTAGTGTGCGCTGGCTGGTGGTGGTGGTAGTGATGGCACTTTTCAGTTGCAACTTGCACCACTGTCGGGAAGTCACTGCCTGTGCACACCGCCTCACTCTCTTCACTCCTCTTTACTCTTTTCTGAGGACCGTCGCCGTCTCTTTGGCTGCTGCCGCCTCAGCTACGACCAGCAGCTTTGACTACTCTGACTCACACACACACTGTGCAGTGTCGGACTCTCAGTCTCAGACTCAGTCAGAGTGAAACAGCTCTACTGTGCTGGCTGCTCTATCTCAGTGGTTGCTGCTGCTATAGCCAGCTCAGTTGCAAATGAGCTCTCCCGACCAAACACCGCCGTCACCAGCACCACTGGCGTTCCGTCCTGGACAATACTGTCTGCAGTGTTTGCTCGGCGCCTCCTGACAGTCCTCGCCCAGCGCTGCTCCCACTCAGAGGTCGTCTGCGCTTAAGGTGTCCCAGTCTTATTGTTGTGTTTGTGTATTTGTGCCGCTGGTGCCCACTTCTCGACCACAGCGCTTAGACCACAGTGTCTTCACTTCAGTGTTTTTTGCCTTGAGAACTGTGTGTCTGGTCAGCCAGCCAGCACCTACAGCCACCACCACCACCAGCACTGCTGCTATTTTGATTTGTCTGTCTGTCAGCAGCAGCAGCAGCGTCTTTGAGTAGTATCCCCATCGAGTAAGTGACTGTCTGCATTGCATTGCACGCGTTGCCACCTTCTCCTCCTCCTCCTCTTTCACTTCTTCTACCGTCGAGCATTGTGAATGATTCACACTTCTCCGAACACTTTCCCTCTCACTCACATTCACTTCTTTCTCGTCGTACTGAACCAACCGACCACCATCGCCACCAACCAACCAACCATTGATCTGCAGAGACACCAACTCCTCGTAAATATGAACTGATTATCGCGGAGAACACGCCACAGGAATTGCCGGCTGATGTCGTTCGCTGTAAGTCCTTGCTCCTCTTTTTGACAGTTGCAGTTGCTTCTGCTCAAACACTCGTGTGTGTATGCCTGTAGTGTGCCTGTCCTCCTCCTTCTCCTCTTGCTGCTTGTCCTTCTGCTAAAGTTGACACATTGTCCGGCTGTTTGTTGCTGAGTGAAGTCCATGACTTTGCATTCTACTTTCGTGGCTTCTCTCCATATTTGTCCCTGCTCATTTATCCCTCCAAATGACTGTAAAGTGCTTACCACCATCATCACCACTGCTACCACTTTGTCTCCTGTNATGCCTGTAGTGTGCCTGTCCTCCTCCTTCTCCTCTTGCTGCTTGTCCTTCTGCTAAAGTTGACACATTGTCCGGCTGTTTGTTGCTGAGTAAAGTCTATGACTTTGCATTCTACTTTCGTGGCTTCTCTCCATATTTGTCCCTGCTCAGTTATCCCTCCAAATGAGTGTAAAGTGCTTACCACCATCATCACCACTGCTACCACTTTGTCTCCTGTAGCCCCTTGTTTGCGTAGTGACTTGCTGCTATCATCGAAGTCGTCTTCGTCGTTGATGCACTTTGAAATTTAATAGCTTTGCCATTTTGTAAGCTTTGTCAAATAATGTCTATACGTGTCTGCCTGTGCGTCCTGCTGCTGCCGTGGCATTGAATATACATTTTGTCGAAGTAATCACCGTTGCTTGATGCCAATTGCCGCCGCCTTATCGTCTCCCAGCTTTGCCNTCGTGGTGGCATTGAAAATATATTTTGTCGAAGTAACCACCGTTGCTTGATGCCAATTGCCGCCGCCTTATCGTCGCCCAGCTTTGCCTCTGCTGTCCCTTTTCGCTGTTTTGCTTCTTCTTTTTCACTGCTTTCAGTCTGTGCGTCAGACTGTGAATGTGTGTTTGTAGGGAGCACCACTTCCAGGATGCTCGTGCCAGTAGTGCCTGTGTGCTGCTGCGCTCTTCCCCAGCCTCAATAATCGCCGAATTTTTGCCGAAGCCGCTTTTGTCAGCTAGCGCTTGTGTGTATGCACTGACCCAACTAATGTTTTTGTTTTATCCAATCGACAGCGAGCACCAGACAGGAAGACGTTTTTGAGAATATAAACCTCGACCTTAGCAACATCAGAAATCGTTTCGAGAACGGCGCTCGCGACAGCAACACCGACGCCATCGTCAGCCACAGCAACGGCAGAAAGGCGAGTGGCGAGAAGCTGATCACTCGTTCGGAGAGCATCCACAAGATTATGCAAAAGTAAGTGCAACACTCAGACACACTCAGACAGACATTACTTTCTTTCCCTTGATTTCACGTGAATCAGGGTGTATCCCCTCGTTGACAAAGCGGGGCTATTTACTGTACTTTCACAACTTCAATTAATTTCCTTCATCTTTTCCACCATTACCACAGGTACCAAAGCAGAGTCGCAGGAGATAAAGACACTACTAGTTCTGACGAGGAAGACAACCACTCCGCCAAGTCCGCCGACGAGCAGCATCTGCAGCAGCAGTCGGAAAAGCAGTCATCGCCAAAAGTGTCCTTCAGTGGCATGTCAGCGCTGAAAACGCAGTGGGAATCAGGTAGCATCAACGCCAACAATAAAAGCGAAAAGGAGCGCGTCGAGGAGGAGCTGGCCGAACTGAGACAGAAGGTGAAAACCTCGGAGCCGTTGAAGCAGGCGTACGAACGGGCCGTACAGGAGGCGAAAAGTGTGGAGAACTTGGCGGCGAAGAGCCACAGCGACAATCTCATTCTCGAGCACAGCTCGGTGAAGGCCGGATCGCTGAAGGAGAAATTTGAGAAGGGCAAGGTCGACGCTGAACAGGAGGTGGTGGACCGTGCCGAGCGAGAGCGCAAGGAACGCGAAGAGGAGATCAGCCGCATTGCCGTCAGTGAGACGTGCACGAAGGAGGCCCGCAACAAGTTCAAGCAGATTGAGGCGAACATGGGCAAGGACCAGGTGGTGCCCACGAACGGAGGTGGTGGAGGTGGTGTCCACGGCGAGGACACTATCAGTTCGAACGAGCTTCAGCAACGTATAAAGAACTTTGAGAACTTCAAGGACAACCAGTCAGCCAATGCCAAAGAGGGAAGTGATGAGATTGACGCCAATGTGGACGACATTCCCAAGGCTGACACCACCAAGAAGATGCTCGACAAGTTCAAGGCCCTCGAGGCGGGCCAGTCGGGCAACGGCGGGCCCAGCAATGGCGCCCCCAAGTCGCCCATTCGCATTACGCCGCCCAGGGAGACGGCCGCCAAGTCGCTCTACGAAAGCGAGCCTGCCGCAGAGAGGGACCCGAATATTGGTGAGTTTGATGGCAACCAATGCTGTGACTGACTATGTTTATAACTTTTTTCCTCCTCTTTTGTCCACTCCAGTCCGCTCCAGCTACAAAACGGAAGACGACATTCAAGTGGAGCCGGAGAAGGCGAAGAATCTGCGCGCCAAGTTTGAGAACTGGCAAACGGAGATTGAACGTGAGGGCCGCAAGAGCGAGAACGAGGAGGAGTACGTGCCGAACATTGACACCACCAAGAACCTGAGGGCCATGTTTGAGTCGATCAAGGACGAGTACAAGCCGGCGGAGAAGCCGCGACCTCGCGTCAACCGATTTGTGGTGAGTAGATGATGCATATTTTGTTTGCTTTCTTGTGCGCGCAAGCTTTTCAGCACTTTGCTTAAACAAACCAATGCTACTAACGGGGCAATCACTCTAAGCACTGCCTCAACAACTAACCAGAGTTTACTGTGCAGTGTGCGGCCCCTGCTACCGAGCAAGCCTTGAATGCCATGCTAATATCCTCCCCCTTTTCAATTGAGCTTTATTCAAAATCAGGGCAGTAATCTAACACTTTAAAACTGCTTCACTTTTAACTTGTGTTTAACTCGCTATAACCTGCAGCCTGCAGCTCCCCTTTTTCCCTTTTCTCTTTGTCTTGATCTTGTCACTCTACCAAAACACTATCCCCTTTTCTTCCCCCAGTAATTTGTCCCCACTTACACTGGTCCTTGTCCTGAGCACTTCTCCCGTACGAGCAAGTGATAGTTCGGACCCATCTGAACTCTTTCACTATTCTCTCTTGGATCTGTTTTTCTACTTCTACTTCTTCTACTACTTCTTCCTCTTCAGCTTTCCTCTCTGTACAGGTCTTTTAATCCACTAGTTATCTATTGATGTGAACTATCTCAGATTGAGTACTTCTTTTCTGTTTTTAAGCTTTTATCTTTCTGGCCACGGTTTTGTTGAACTGGTTGGCCACCACCAGCTCAAGCTGGTACTGGTAATGTTACCCTGTTTCTTCTCTTCGCTCTACAACCAACTATTTGCTGTGGAAACTTTTGGTGATGCGCATTCTTTCAATTAACCAGTTATACCCCTTTTATACCCCTTTTATTGGGCATAATAAAAGAGTATTATGCAGAAAGTCCCTTTTCCGGTTGATTGGGTGGTAATGATATTCTTGGCATCACATGCACCTGTAAACTCCTGGTTTGGTTCGGTTTGGTTTTGCACTGTGTTGATTGGCATGCTCTCTTTTTACAACGAGCTCCATCTCATCAAACATGAATTTATTTCCCACAATGCAGGAGAACAAGGCACCTCCTGGCGAGACTTGCTACGTTTGCTCTTCCCGACTTTATCNTCTGTAAACTCTTGGTTTGGTTCGGTTTGGTTTGGTTTTGCACTGTGTTGATTGGCATGCTCTCTTTTTACAACGAGCTCCATCTCATCAAACATGAATTTATTTCCCCCAATGCAGGAGAACAAGGCACCTCCTGGCGAGACTTGCTACGTTTGCTCTTCCCGACTTTATCCAATGGAGAAGATGGAGTTTAGCGGTATCAAGATTCACAAGAACTGCTTCCGGTGTAACAAGTGCCACGCTCCACTGAGGTAAGTAGTTTAGCCACACATTTGTACGGCAACAAGCGCTAACATTTATCTTTCTTTATCCCTTTTCGGAACAGACTCGACAACTTTACTGTCACCGCCGAGAAGCTGTTTTGCATTCCCCACTTTAAGCAGCTCTTTATGGAGAAGGGCAATTACGATGAGGGCTTTGGCCTGGAGCAACACAAGGACAAGTGGTCCAACAAGATGGCCACCACCGCCGGCGGCACCACGGCCACCACCACCAATGGCCAGTCTGCCACCAACGGCCAGAGCAATGGAGAAGAGAAGCTGGAGAATGGTGATGGCGAGGAGACTGCTGCTGATCTTCTGGTTGAGACAACTGGCAAAGCAATTGCCAATGGCAATGGCGTCCACCACGATGATGAAGAAGAGGAGGTGGAGGGCGAAGGTGAGCTTCTGCAGCAGCAGAATGGACACCACCACAATGGAGGAGGAGGATCAGTGGAGGACCACCTCTCCACCGAAGGTGATGACGAGCAGCAGTACGTCCATGAAGAGCAGCCCGTAGAGGCGGAAGTTCAGCCGAAGCAGCAGCCACTGCTGCAGAATGATGACGATCTGGACGTACTGCAGCAGCAGGTGGGTCACCTGGAGCTGGAGCACGGCGAGGCCATTCTCGATGGACCGATTGCCCTGCCGGTGGACAACCAGGCCTAGAGAGGTGGTGTGTGCGGTAGTGCTGCTGCAGTGCAGAGCATTCCTACTTACTACTACAACTACAACTACTACAGATCTGTGTTGCCACACTAGGCTTGCATTGCCTTAGCCCAGGACTGGTGCGTGCAAGTGTCACACCCTACACCTTCTTACACACCCCACACATTATCTTTGCTGTTTGGCACTTCCACTACTATTACCTGAACACAAAAACATTTCTTCACCGCCAGTCAAGCTCAACACCCAAACTCCCTCTCTTTTCCTCGCCGCCCCTTCTTCAACCGAAGAGCACACTACTTGTGAGCCTACTACTTTTCCAGACACACCACACATTTTACTTTCTTTGTTTTTAATTTATTATCCTTATCCCCTCCTGTACATACTGTAATTCGTTTGTTTTTCGACTCTAACTCTGGCAACCAATTCAGCAGTGACAGTTGTTGTTGTGTTTGTGCAGTAATTGCAATGTTCTGCGCAGACAACAACAATACTGTCCTGTCTCAGTTGTGCCACCGTAATAGTCGCCACCCCTCCTCCTCCACCCCCTTTTACTGTACAATTTTCACTGATCGGCTGATTTTCTCCTTTTTCTCCTTCTTTTTATCACCCGCTTTGTTGTCCCGATCGCACGGTTCGATGAGTTGCTGCATTGATTTGAAAGGTGGTTCATTGAACAAGAGTGTACTTATTTTACTTTGATTAAAGATTAATTTTAAAATCAATCAGCTCTTGTTCCCCTTGTTCTTTTCTCCAAACTCCTTCCAACTCTTATCATTCTTCCTGATTAAAGAACAGGTACCGCCCTCCTGCGGAATTCCTCTCCCCTGCCTGNTCAAACTCCTTCCAACTCTTATCATTTTTCTTGATTAAAGAACAGGTACCGCCCTCCTGCGGAATTCCTCTTCCCTGCCTGGTGGTGTTTGCTGTTTCCTCAACACGCATGCTTTGAGTTTGAGAGAGCGAGAGAAAGTGTGAAGTGCGGCAGAAGCAGCGGCAGCAGACTAAATGAGCTTAAATGAGCGCGGTGACTCTCAGCTGCCAAAACTTTAGCGCCGCCGAGTCAGAGCAATCTCGTCCTGGATCCTCTCTCACCACCCGATTCTCTCCACCAGCACTCCCGAGTTGTCCGTCGGCAGCAACTACCGTGCACCGCCAGCATCAGCACTGTCCTCTCCAGCAGCAGCAGCAGCTACCACCAACTACCTGGTGACGGAAATGCCATCACGTGCAGAGGACATTATGATTGGCTTCAAATTGTTAGTCGGCTTCTTTTGAACGTTTTCCTTAGTGTTAGTTTGTGCCACTAAATTCGTGTTTTTGTTTCTTTTCTTCTCTGTCCCCCACCCCACAGAAACTGGATGAATCTTCGAGACGCCGACACTGGCGATGTTCTGTGGGAGGAAAGCAATGATCTGTACGCATTTTGTTTATTGTTTTCTCCGAACTAACGTAAATTAACTTTCTTTCGTTCTGTAGCTCAAAGCCAGACAAGGAGCACGAAGGTAANAGCATTTTGTTTAGCATTTTTCTCCAAACTAACGTAAATTAACTTTCTTTCGTTCTGTAGCTCAAAGCCAGACAAGGAGCACGAAGGTAATTACTTTCTTCTTGATGTGATCTTTTGTTTTATTTAAAAAGTGTTTTTCTTTATCAAATAGCCCGTGTTCCGAAAAGCATTCTGAAGTGTAGAGCTGTCTCGCGGGAAATCAACTTTACATCGGTGGAGCCAATGGAAAAGTTCCGATTAGAGCAGCGAGTTCTCTTCAAAGGCAGATGTCTAGAAGGTTGGTTCTTTGCTGAGCTTTAAAACATTTATTGTATTAATGATCCCCTTCAATGCGCAGAATGGTTTTTCGAATTCGGCTACGTCATCCCAAACTCCACCAATACATGGCAATCGCTCATCGAGGCTGCTCCAGAGTCGCAGATGATGCCGGCAAATGTTCTCAAGTACGGTAGCTTATTCCTCTGCACTGATAACAGTTGGTTAACTGTTTTGTATTTCATTTCAGTGGCAACGTCATCATTGAGACCAAGTTTTTCGACGACGATGTGCTCGTGAGCACCTCCAAAGTTCGCCTGTTTTACGTCTAGTCCGCACATATCCAGTATTTCAACACTGCATTTCTAAAGAGTTCATGTTTGTGTTGTGTGACCAACCAACCACCCACCTCCGTTACATTCTCCAATAGTTTAGAAGTTGCCTTCTGTTGTAAGCTCCTCTGTACAGCGGTAGTTCCCAACTGAGCCAACTTCCCGTTGTTGTCTTGTTCATTTTCATTGCCACCTCACCACCACTATCACCACTTGTACATTTGTCCTAATCTCTCCCCTATATACTTTTGTTTAAATTTTTTACCCACTTTTGCTATTCGGCAAAGCTTTGTTGTTGCTTCCGCCACTTGAATCGACCTCCGGCCACCATTAGTGCAGGACGAGCCGATCTCTCCCACTACCTATTCTTTTTCTTCTGTTTTCTCCCGTTCTCCTCTCAATCCCTCAATCCAATAAAAAAAATGAATCTTTTCATTGCCATTGACAGTGAGACTGACGCACACTCACAACAAAAGTGCCAACTTTGCTTGGGCAAAGTCGTAAAAGTGAGTCAAAAATAAGTGATCGATCTGCCGTCGGCGATCATTAATGCTCGGCAGAGGGGAATGGAAATAATGGAAATAGAAAAGCAATTAGCACTATTAACAGAAACTATGTTCAACTGTGTGTGTTAGGCTGTTTCCTCTGGGCAGTTGCAGCAGTGTTCCAGCAGTGCAGCTCGGTCGCTGGTCCCGTTACTTTGCGGCGCCCAACAGTCAGTCAGTCTGACTCTGTTTGTCTGGAAGAGCATGCGCCAGTGTTCTTGCTGCTGCTGCTGTTGTTGTATTTGTAGGTCGATCGCCTTAAATGGTCTGCCTATGTTTGGCTCGGATTGGATCGCATTATTTTCCCAGACAGACAGACACTGAAACTGCAACTGAGCGGCGGCGGCAGGCCTGGCCAGGCCAATCTATCGATCACTTCACGCCACTTTGCCTTCTAAACAAACACACACTCACTCACTCACTCACTGAAGAGCTGCTGATGGTCGGTGTGTCAACTCACTCACTTGCTCACTTGCTCATCACACCTGCTCCTTCATCATCATCGTACTCCGCCCAGTGTGCAGTGTGTAGTGCCTTTTTCTTCTCGCCGTCACCACCATCATCAGCAGGACAGTATCCATCTTAGTATGCATCTGCCCGACCTGCCCAGTCAAGCTCAAATGGAAGATAACGTCTGCTCAAGCTTTCAGGCTCGACTGAGCCAGGAAAAGAACTGTGATCTGCATCTACACATGGACCCCGATCCGAGAGTTCAGGTAGGTGTTTGGCTGTTTTGTTGGCAAGCTGTCCACAAAGACTAATCGAGAATTCTGTGAAACCAGGTTGAACTGGAGAATCTAAACACGTCGACGGAGTTCATCAACAAACTTGAATTAGAACTTGAGGTTAGTATTGCCTGCACTGCTTGCCGTCTTTGTTTACATTTGGCATCCATTCTTTGCAGAAGGCGCGAAGTGAATTCAACAAACTGCTCTGTGATTCCACCCAAAAGATTGAGGCACTTTCCAAGAAGCTAGGCTCATCAATCAACAAAGCTCGGCCGTACTACGAGGCACGCATCACCGCCAGTGAGCTGCATCATAAGGCGCAGACAGAGGCGTTGCGCTACGAGCAGGCCACCGAGGCGCACAACCGGGCCAAGGAGGTGGTCCATCTGGCCGAACAGAATCTGAGCAGTGATGATGGAGGCGGCGGCGGCACAGAAAGTGCCACTGCCAACTCCAAACTAGAGGTGCTGCTCACCAGGTCGGCGGAGAAGGTGAACCAGTCAGAGCTGGAGAGGTTGTCTGCCCAGCGAGAGCACGAGATCACCTCCAGGGCGTACAACCACACCGAACAGCGACTGTCAAAGCTGCACAAACAGCTAAAGCGGTCCATCGTCAAGGCAAGGTAAGTAGTACCTCCCTTGCTTTGCAATTTCGCCATTTTACCTCCCCGATTTGCTTTGTCGTTTTACCTTTTTATTTATTTTTCATTTTCATTTTTCCCCCTTTTAAGTTTGGAGACTAGACGTAACTTGTTAGACTTAAATAACTATGCGAATCAGCACCAGTTGCAATTATTGTAAGTTTTCCCCTGTTGTTTGTTTGCTTGCATGTGTTTTATATTTTGCCCGCTTCCGCTCGGCAATATTCACACTTGATCGGCATATTCTCTGTTTGTGTACTCTTCCACTGTTCACTAACTTGCTTTTGTGATTTACTAGACCATATTTCGAAATGAAGGCGCAGTTTAACCAAATGCTCGATGTAAGTGCAGCAGATGTCTGCTCACGTAAAATATTCTAACATTCTCTGTTGTGCAGGAACAAATATGCAAAATCAGCTCATACGAATCGAGAGTGAACAAAGCAAAGGCAAACTACACAAAGGCGCTGCAACGACTTGAAGAGCTGAACAGCAAAATCTACGATACCTCAACCTGCGAGCTGAGCACCGCCGAAGAGGAGTACCTGCCCTTTTCCGGCTCGGCGACCAGCTCGCAAACAACTGCTCACAATGGTGCTTCGGTTTTTGAAGGTGAAGCTGTTACTGGTAGTGAGTTTTGTCCTCAGCACCATAAACCAGTTGAAGTTTCAGTTACACCTGAAAATGATGTGGTAGTCGAAACTTCAGAAAATGATAAAGAAGAAGTAAGGACGACCAGCACCACAGACGCTAAAGTCACTCCCACAACTTCCACCACCACCGCTACTGCCTCAACTACTGATCCTCGATCAGGCGCTGTCTTTAAGGGCTGTCAAGTGCTCGATGAACTCCTGCTGGAGGACAACATAGAGTCGACACTTGAGCAGCTAAAGAGTCAGTGCCTATCGTGAATCTCTCTTCCACTCTAGTTTGCTTAACCAGTCTCTTTCTCAGTATAAAAGGCCATTTTAATGGGCAAATGCTATAATACAAAATGGACACCTTGGTAAACTAATATCGGAAAAAGCTGTAGGAAGCGAAAGCTAAGCGCTGCTCTACATTACAAAAAGTTGCTTTGTTTTAGAAGATTATCAAAACGGATAAAAAATAAAACAAAATGAAAATATGTTTTGTTCGTCACTGCTAATAGCATAGAGAGTTGTTGGTATCACAAAGGAGAGAGAGAGAGAGAGAGAGGGGGGGAAACGACAGTGAAGAAAAAAAGGAAAAAATTCTCTGAACAAGATGGGTAAATGAGACAGAAGAGAAAGTGACTAAAACTTCCGCTGTTTGGGAAGAAGCTGTGAAGAGAATTGAGAAATGAGTAAAGGAGTGCTCAGTACTGCTGAACTTGGTGGCCACCACCAGCACGATGACCTCCGGAAATGAAGGAGAGCGGCGAGAGGGAGGGCGGCGGCAGAAAAGAGGCGGTGGTGGCAGATTTGCCCGAGGCGTCCGACTTGATGCGGGCATTGCGAATGAAGAGCGTGAAACAGACAATGCAGCCGACGAGGACGACGAAGTAGATGGAGGCGATGAGGGCGTAGAAGGTGGTGTTGCAGTGCAGCGTGAAGGAGAGCAGCACCTCGCGGTAGCTGCCGTTGAGGACGCTCTTGGCGCTGAGGAGGAAGGCGACGACGTCTGTGACGAAACGGGTGTACTGCCGACCCGTCTGCCGGTAGAGGTTGTTCTTGGAGTTGGCGTAGAAGATGGCGGTGTGCTTCGTCTGCAGCAGCTCAATGTACCGGTGGTAGATGCGAGAGTCCCAGGAGAAGGCGTTCTCAATCAGTTCGTGGCTGCTGTAGAAGTAGTAGTAGAAGTTGGAGAGCTCAGTGTCAGGGTCGGTGTAGTTGAAGAGCTGGGGGCTGAGGGAGGAGAAAGTTAATAAAGGGATGATCAACTGGTGGTCATCAGTGGACTCACCCAATGTGGTAGATGGTGCCGTAGGAGAGCTCAATGAAGCGGCGGTTCATGCCCTTGATGAAGAGCGAGTACGGCGCCGACTGAATCTTGGTGAAGGACATCAGCAGGTGCCAGCGAGGATCGTGCACTTTCATGTTGCTGCTGCTCGGCGCTGACGTCCGATCGACGGCCATCTGCTCGGTCAGGTCAAAGATGATTTTGTAGCTGTTGATCATGTTCAGCGGGTGTTCCGTTTCGAGGGAGAGGTTGTAGCGAATGAGGCCCAGCTTGGACTCGATGGCCGCCAACAGGTAAGACAGATCATTGGCGGGCAGGATTTCCTCGCGCACGGCGGAGATCTCATTGTCGGTGAGAGACCAGGTGAAGTTCACCGAGCGGTTCAGGTCCTCAACTGAGGTGAGGTTCATCTGAACGGAGACGAGAGCGTCTACGGTGAAGACTAAATAGAATGCTCACTGGTTAGTTTCATGTGGGTCAAAGTCAATCATCGTGCTTAATACTTACGCATCTCCTGACCCACTTGAAACATTATTCGGCCGATTCGCTCCTGATTGTGGAAGATCTCCACCGGCTCCTGCATGTACATCTTCTCGTCGATGTTGTTCTTGAGGAAGATCGACGACACTACCGTCGACCAGATGAAGAGAAAGCCAAGGCACATGGCGATGAAGGCGGTGTAGCGGAAGTTCACCTCGATGATGTCACCAGTTGAGGGTGGTGCTGTGGGAGTTTGGCGAGTGGGCACCCCAGCAATCTGTTGCTGATGCTGCTGAGGGCGACGGTGATGACCGGTGGCGGTGTTCATGGTGGTGGTCGAAGTTGTGGAGGAGAGTGTGGACGACGTTTTGTTGTTGTTGCTTGATGCCAGTGAGCCGTTGCCGAAGCCGTGTGCTGGTAGTGATGCCATTTTTCCGTCAAAATGACCAGGCCAGAAGAGTTTCATAGTAGTCAGATCTGCGGCAGCGGCAGCAGCAGCAGCTTGTCAGCGGCGGCAGTGTCGGGGCGGCAGATGCAGCGACCAGCGACCAGCCCAGAACGGCGAAAAGGGCGAGAAGGTTCGGTGGTGGTGGTAGTGGCGGTAGTGGAGATGGTGAAGATGATGCTGATGGTAGTGACTGCTGAGCCGGAGCAGAGAGGAAAGAGGAAAGGGCGCGCTTGAGCTGCTTCAGAGATCAGTGGCTAAAACGTCTGCAACGAGGCAGCAAGTAAGGCGACAGTGGCAGTAGGCAGGCAGACAGCAGTGCAATTACAACCGCCGAATACTAAAACAGGGAGACGAGTTTCTCTGATGATGGCTTCACTGCTGCTGAGGATGTGCCACACAGTCTGCGCTGACTGCTGAGGGTACCACACCAGCGAAGGAGCGAACGAATGAACTGCCAATGGGGAAAAGCGAGCGCAGATGCGTGCCGCGCGCGCGAGAAAGTGCCGATGCTGGTGATGGTCGTGGTGATGGTGGTGGTAGTGCTTTTGCTGGCAATTGCTGCAGTAGCTCTGCCCTGATGTTGGCCACTCCGTCGGATCGGATCCGCTCGAGCGTACGCTTCCACAAGCAACCACTACTGAGCCCGGCGACTTAGGCTGTTGCTCTCTCTCTCGTTGTTGCGACTGTGGTGCGATGCTCGCCCAGATGCCGTCACTTGCAGACTGAATGGCTGAACAGCACTGAACTGATGGCAGCTGGCTGATGCAGTGGCCGCTATTTGCCAGGGCCACACTGAAAGAGAAAGAAAGAGATAGAGTAGGTCGAGGTCTGTGCTAGGCTGAGCACAATTGTCAAATGAGATAGAGGGGATTGTCTCTTTCTCTTTCACTCTCTGTTCTCTGGTCTTTCTTTGGCCATAGAGCACATCTGTTGCACAGTGCCCAGTGCAGCAGGGATCAACTGGTAGGGTGGTGGTGGTGGTGGCGGTGTCGCACTCCAGGCAGCTGCCTCCCGGCCAAATGGACCCTCTCTTTCTTTTTCTCTTTCTCCTCAATGTGTCATTGTCATTGACTGGCACACTTCGACACACTTCGGACACACTGAGTCCCCTTGGTGGCCCCCTCGAGGCAGGAACAGCACTGCCCGTCAGGCCAGGGCAGAGCGGTTTTGTTCGTGCTGAGGACAGCACAGTCAACGGCGGGGCCAGGCAGGCACTGTTCTCCTGCAAACGTGGTCTCCACAATTTTCCTCTACCACCCTGCAAATTCGCCCGGGCTCGTGCCTGCAGTCCTCAACCTCTGGCCGGGTTTTAAATCAGTAATGAGCAGTGGACATTGTCCCCTCTCTTTTTCAGCTAAGCTCTGTGTCGGTGTCAGCTCTCTTTCTGAGTCAGTCCTGAGGACACTAATTGCTGTTCACCACTTGACACATTGTGCACTGATGAGTGAGCACTAGTCCTCCTGATTAGAGTGCGTCTTCCGTCAACTGGCAGGCACTCCTTCCTTCTCAGATCACCGTCGGTCACCGAGAAACTGCAAACGCCGCGGCGAGTGAGATCACTTTTATGGTGATGAGCCTTTACTTTCCTTCCTTTGTTTGCTCAGCCCTGAAGTGCTCTCACTCGACTTTTAATAAGAGAGAATGAGAATGAGTCAAGTGGAACTCATAAGCAGAATAAGTGGCGCAATGAAAATTGTCATTTTTTCTTTTTTTCTTTTGAATTCTTTTTTTTTCGAATGTGCTTATCTTTTTTTTAATAGTCGTTTTTGAGAAGCTTGAGATGAAATGAGCACGACTGTTTCCGGTAATAAATTAAATGCTTCATGGATTAGCCGGACNGAGAATGAGAATGAGTCAAGTGGAACTCATAAGCAGAATAAGTGGTGCAATAAAAATAGTCATTTTTTCATTTTTTTAATTCTTTTTTTCGAATGTGCTTATCTTTTTTGTTAATAGTCGTTTTTGAGAAGCCTGAGATGAAATTAGCACGACTGTTTCCGGTAATAAATTAAATGCTTCATGGATTAGCCGGACAACAGTGTCTTGGATGTGCATTGTTTTCCTGGGCAAATATTTCCTACATAATGCTCACAACAACACAACATTTTTCCATCATCAATCCTAGTGACAACTGTCGCTAGATCAGATAACTTTTAATTGTTTCTAAATGAACTGAATGTCCCTTGCTCAAAACGATTCAAATCGATTCATTTTTATTCGAACTGCTCAAACTTAATCGCCATCTGCCGACTGAGCGGCGAAGCTATGCTCCCTTCTCAGCCGCTGAGAAGTTCTTGCTCTGCCACCAACACACACTCACAAGACACTGCCTCTTCTCAATGGTTGCACTGCTCTTCTCTACTGCAAGATCCAAGATGCTACTGCAGCAGCAGAGGCAATAGACGCGGATGCAGTAGTGTGGACATGCACACGCCAGCACAGCGATGAGCATCGATCGGCGGCGACGGCGGACAGTGGTCTGGTGCGCGCATGATGCGCCAAGAATGTCCGCTTGCTTACTCGGACTCGGTCTCAGAGTGTCTAGAGCGGTGGGCGCCTTCACCGTCTGAAGCAGCAGCAGCAGCAGCTGGCGGCAGCTGCAACAGCAACGGCGGCGGCTCCTTCCTCCTTCAGTCGCCTGGTGTTGCAGCAGCAGCAGTGGCAGCTAACCCGTCGTCGCACCAGAGAGTTCATTCGCCAACCCCATCAGCATCAGCAACAACACTCACCCCGAGGAAAGAGTGTCCAGAGCCAAGTTCGCACACACTTGCACACCTGGACGCCTGGATCGAAGCATACCCACCGTCTCACCCACTCACCCACCCACCTCCCACACAACAGTTCTCGGCAACTCTTCCGCGCGCGCAAATCCGGAATCAGATCTTGTGCAGCCGCGGTATAGTGCCAGTGCTCTCACTGCACAGCACACACACACCACTGTACGGCAGTCTTCGCGCCTCGGAACCTGCAGCCTTCCTACAGCCTCTCTCTCTCCTGGTGCACTCTCTTTTGGCGCCGCCATCCTCGCACACTCCTCTATACTGAATGAGAGCGAGGAAGAAGTAGAAGAAGAAAAAGAAAAAGATGTGTTGATGTTGTTGAGTTGATACCGAGTGGCGCTTTACCCCTGAGGCATCGAATCAGCAGCTCCGGAACCTAACCCAATGACCACTTCTGGTGGTGACCACTCAGTAACCCAGTGCAATATCATCACAACGTTGTCGGCTGCGGAAGCTAACCGCTAGTGTTACGTTTTCTTTATTTTTTTCATTTGCCAGCCGTCGCCATCTTCTTCGCCATCGTCATCATCATCATTGTTGTTGTTGTTTTCGTTTTCCAGTTTGCTGCCGCTGTCGAGCACACTTCATTTCATCCTTCGTTCGCCATCACTTCCTCTCACCGTCGAATATGTTCCGCCCACCGCCAGTTCACCTCACCAAACAATCTTCTCGCCTCCCCTAAACTGACCTTCCACTTCACCCCCACCAGCTAAAATGTCGATCACCAGACAGGGGCGGCTGAAAAGCGGTGGTGGTGGTGATCTGTCCGCCAGTGGCACCGACAAGAGCTGCAAGGCGCCAGTTGGCGCAAAGCACAGCAGCACCAGCAACAATCACAACAGCAACATCCACTCGGCGGAAAGTGACCGGATTTCAAAGTGTAAACAAGGCAAACATAGCCTGCATGGCGACAATCCGCCTCGAGGACCGATCAACAAGCTTCAAAAGCGCACACGACTGAACCAGGCGCCGATAAAGTCAGCGAGCAAGGCCAACATGAAGCGCAAAGCCATCCTGCCAACAGCCAAGAAGACCACCAAGAAACGCAGCCCACTCCCTGACTCGAGTGAAGTTGTCGTCGAGCAGATTGTAGAGGCAGTTGTAAGCCTCAACCTAAACCTCCCCCTGATGCCTTTGACCGATACACTCACCTGCGACTCGAGCAGCAGCAACGAGTCTAGCACAAGCATGGCTGTGCAGGTCTTCACACACAGTGAGACCACCACCACCAGCACCGCCAGCAGACCTCCTGAACTGACCTCCGCTTTGCCTGACAGCACCAGCTCAACGTCCAACTTGCCACTTACCATTTTCAGTCCATCACCACTACCACCGCCACCATTCATCTGTTCATCTGGTCCGCCGACCAGTAGCCAAACAGCACCTGCCGCCGGAGGAGGAGGAGGAGGTGGTGAGCAGCATTTTCAGAACAATCAGCATTTCTTGAGCTCGTGTTCTCTGGTGAACACTACAACTAACAACTGCAATGGCCGAAGTGAAAGCTCAGAAGGAGTGGTGAACAGCAGCGAGGTGGTCAGCTATTCGAGCCACCACCACCAAACATTTGCCGGTGGACAGGCACAGTACCAGCAGCAGCATCAGCAGCAGGAGTATCGCGCCAGCAGTAGCACTGAGAACGACGGTAGCAGCAACAGCAGCTTCGAAATGACCAACCGCTCTTTGATCTTTCAGTCGTACGAGGGCGACGGGAACAACAACTGCTGCTACCCGAACACGCACCAGCACTTCATCTCCAATGAAGAGCTGGAGCAGTTCCTCGATCCGTACTACTTTATACGTAACCTTCCTCCGCTGACGCCGGAGATGCAGGTCCGCTCACCAGTGTTGCCTCTCAAGACGAGAAGCTCTCCGGAGTTCACCCTCGTCTTGGATCTCGACGAAACCCTTGTGCACTGTTCACTGACCGAACTGGAGGACGCCACCTTCTCCTTTCCTGTGAACTTTCAGGACTGCGAATACCGCATCTACGTTCGAACGCGGCCATTCTTCAGGGAGTTCCTGGAGCGCGTCTCACGCATGTTCGAAGTCATTCTCTTCACTGCCTCGAAGAAGGTCTACGCTGACAAGCTGCTGAATCTCCTCGATCCGGAAAGAAAGCTGGTCAAGTGAGTTTATCCTTTTACTTGGTGTTCATCATTGTTCTAACTGCGATATTTTTTTTTCATTTTCCAGGTATCGACTGTTTCGCGAGCACTGCATNTGACAAGCTGCTGAATCTCCTCGATCCGGAAAGAAAACTGGTCAAGTGAGTTAATCTTTACTTGGTGTTCATCATTGTTCTAACTGCGATATTTTTTTCATTTTCCAGGTATCGACTGTTTCGCGAACACTGCATTTGTGTTTGTGGAAACTACATTAAGGACCTGAATATTCTGGGCCGAGACCTGTCACGTACCATCATCATCGACAACTCACCACAAGCCTTTGGCTACCAGGTATGAGACTGTTAGATTGCACAGGTTGAAACTACTACAGCTTCATTTCTCAACAGCTGGAGAATGGTATTCCCATCGAAAGCTGGTTCATAGACAAAAATGACAGTGAGCTGTTGAAACTGTTGCCCTTTCTGGAGAATCTGATCAACGTTGTAAGTTGAACTCTCGACTCTAACCTTGTGAACACAAAGTTGCTAATTGTTTTCCTTGTTCTTTTTCAGAATGAAGATGTACGTCCTCATATCTGCAATCGCTTTCACGCGGCCTATGCTAGTCAGCTAAACTGTTCTNGCATTTTTAAACTCCCGACTATAATGTTGCTAATTGTTTTTCTTTTTCAGAATGAAGATGTACGTCCTCATATCTGCAATCGCTTTCACGCGGCCTATGCTAGTCAGCTAAACTGTTCTCGCGTCGAATGACACCCTATTCTCTTGTTCCTCTCTCGTTTCCTCTCGGCTCGGTGCAATGATCCACTTTTTACTATTAACTCCTTCGGATGTTATCCTTCATCTCCTTGTTAGTGTTCAACATTTTCTTCATCCGTTGTCTCTCCCATCACGCCCCTAGCACTTTGTTCGTTTCTCACTATTTATTACTATAACTGTTCAGTTTGTTTCAGTTACCACTTTTCTCATTTATTATTATTTATTCTCTTTAATTCTCTCTCATCTAGTCCTTCTAGCTAGAATTCCTACGTGCAATGTTGTAATGTTCTGTTTCTTCTTTCAACTTTTCGATCCTCAAATAAAGGAGACTATTGTTTTTTCGCTTTTATCATTTTTCTAAAAAAATCGTTATGTCATCTGTGATCATGACAAAAATTCGCCGCCAACATAAACAAAACAACGCAACATGTTTTGGTGAACTTCCATTTGACGGTTCTTCATCAAGTTCAACTTCTTCTTCCGAATCATGAAGTTCCGCTTCACGACAACTCGCCTCGAGGCGACGAATGCAGTTCTGGGCTCAATGAAGGCCGCCACCAAGCTGACCACCAACTTGATTTTCCGCTGCAGCCCCACAGGCATTCACATTGTCGCCGACCCTTCGTACCGATCCAATAGTCCACTGATGTCGCGTTGTGAACTGCGTGCTGAGAATCTGTTCTACGAGTACCACTTCAATGGTGTCAGTGCAGAGCACAATCTCATTTACTTTGATGTGCCGTGCCTTGCCCTCTCAAACATTCTGGCCACTTTTCATTCCTGCATCAAGAGTCTTAAAATTAAACTGGACAACGGCCCCAGTGGAGAAAGACAGCGTTTCGTGTTGAAGTTCACAGTGGAGTACCCTAGTCTTGATAACAGTCGTTATATCCACCACGACGTGGGCATCAGTATTATGAAGCAAAAGTACTGGGCTCCCTTCGAAGAGCAACCCGTTGATCCGTTTAATGTAATTGAGTAACTTTTGAATCATTTTCTCAAATAATTTACTTACTTCAATTTGTAAAACTTTTTAGATATCAATGGACTTGCCCAACTTCAGACAACTGACGCCGATCTTAGAGAGAACGTCGACACTGGCGCAGTATGCCATTGTCATTGGAAAACGCACGCCAGATAACAAGGCCACCTTTTCCGTTGGCTTGCTGAATGACTATATGAGTGCTAAAACTAGATTTACCCGTCTGACTTTGCACGACGATCCAAACAACCCAGTGAACGACAATGGAGTCAAGATTCGGATTGACATTCGTCGGCTGACTCAGGTGTTCAACGCCATGGCATCCATCAAGTCCGCCCAAACCCGATGCAGCATCCGACACAACAGTGCTATTTGCTTTGATTTTTTCAACGAATTCATTAGCTTCCGAATTACACTGCCTAATTACGAATCATAACCTTTTTTGCAATCATTGTACATACATCTTCACAAATACCTTTTGCTTACGTTGAGAATCGAGAAACTTATTTTTTCAAACTGGAAAAAATTAAAAGACGCGCTGTAGCACGTACTCTTTGAAGGGGCAGTGCTGAGATTGGTGGCGCCGCCAGTGTGGCAGTGGAAAGCGCTGAACGTGTGTGTGTGCGGCGCAGGCAGCAAAGCACATTTTCTCTTGTGTACTTCCTTTTCTCGTTCTCTGCATCCAAGTCATCATGTCTAAGCGAGGCAAGTCCCGGTTCACCGGTCTTTCGGCCCTTCTGGGCCCGAATCACCTTCTTCCTTCTCACCAATGTACTAATACTATTTTTCCACAGGTCGTGGAGGAACCGCTGGAGCGAAGTTTCGCATTTCCCTCGGTCTGCCAGTGGGCGCCGTGATGAACTGTGCTGACAACACTGGAGCCAAGAACCTGTTCGTCATTGCAGTCAACGGAATCAAGGGCCGACTGAACCGTCTTCCTGCTGCCGGATGTGGTGACATGTTTGTCGCCACCGTGAAGAAGGGCAAGCCCGAGCTGCGCAAGAAGGTGATGCCGGCGGTCGTCATCCGACAGCGCAAGCCATTCCGCAGGAAGGACGGTGTTTTCATCTACTTCGAGGACAACGCCGGCGTCATCGTCAACAACAAGGGCGAAATGAAGGGCTCTGCCATCACCGGACCCGTCGCCAAGGAGTGCGCTGACATCTGGCCCAAGATTGCCTCGAACGCAAGCAGCATCCAGTAATTGGATTTCTTTTGTCAAAAAATTAAAAAAGTTCATTAACTTACACC